GAGGGAGTAATACAAAACACAAAGATATCTAGATATTACCTATATCTTCACCTCCCACTATTTGCTTATCACTTTCACAATGAAAATGTCAGTATTAAATAAGAATTACACATTGATGAGATGACTCTGTGCAACTCACCTTCTACCCACACATAAACAGCAGCAGCAATGGCAAACACAAGGAGGAAAAGAATGAAGATGAATGTCTCTAGGTTGTTTGCAGTCACTCTCTTCACACCGAAGAGGATGGTCCTTAACAGTTTACCCTGGAATCAAGTTTTGTACACACAGTCAGTACACTTTCACAGCTCACTCAGCATGTCCTACACAGACATACTGTCAAAACAACAATTAAAATTCATGACAAGAAAAAAAGGAGTGTAATAATATAGATGTGACAAGCAGCTTCCTCACCTGAGAGGTGTAAAATCCTGTCCTCAGTACATAGGCCACACAGCCATTGTCTACAGCTGCAAATAAAAAAGCCTGATGAGCTTGCACCGTGTTTTGATGATGAAGGAAAACAAATGAACTATGAAATTCACAGATACAACAAGTAGTATTTGTTGTTGGTAACTGATACATGGAGAGGAATTAGCACTTACGTTTAAGTCCTGCACTAGCCTTTAAAGGGGGACTATGCTGGACCACTTTTGTTCCTCCAGAGATGACATGGAGTCGAGCGTCTGTTTGAAGGTCCAGGACTCGCTCTGGGTCCAGGTCCTCTACTGGCTCCTGCACACCCCATATTTTAAGAAGTTACAACAATACCCCCACAGTAATTACATGCCATTTAGAATAAATGAGGCCTACACCACAAGGTCTGTGCTTTCAGTTCTGTCTAATGTTATCATGTATGTATGTATATTAGTTTGCCTCTAACCTTCATCTGGGGCACAGACTCTCCAGTCAGCATAGCTTCATCTACAATGCAACGGCCCCTGAGTAGCAGCACGTCACATGGTACCAAGTTGTCCTGGGGTGAACGTCCTGTGAAGGAGAAAGTACGCTTTGTAACATCCATTCTATATAAATAAACTCTACTTAGTTACTACATATGAAGCACACACTGACGGCATAAATCTGAGGTTTGTCAAGAGAATAAAAACATTGACAGGAAACCTACCTATTGAGACAATATCACCAGGGACAAGCTCATCACTTGAAATGGGTCTCCACTTCCTGTTACAGTACAGCTGACAAAAAAAAAAAAAAATTAAAAATTAAAATAGGGATGTTTTAAAGTTATGAAAAATACTGTACATTGTAGACAGAAAGTTTATGAGAGTAGTTTTTTTAATCTAACTTTCAAAATGAATATAAGATATTTTAAACATGATTAAGCCTACCTGGATCATGTAGGGCTTGTTTCCCATGCGACGGATCTCAGACATATTCCTCATTTGCTGCTGGACCAGGGACGCCTCAAATGCCACCAGCATGAAGAGTGTGAAAACGCTGTAGTACCAGTACTCATCAAGACACCACAGCCCCACACAGAACACCTGATGGATTACAGATGGTAGATAACTTCACATGGATAGAGACACTTTTACCAGGTCAATTTCACAATTTTTACAATAAGACAAGTAAAATTATAAAGAATCTTTCACACATATATGTACCTGGAAAACAAAAAATGGAGCTGTGGCCCTCTCTCTGAAGAGCTCCAGAAAATCTGGCACCACCATCTCAGCCCGATTGGTGCCATAGCACTTTTCTGCAGCTCTGAGTTCAGCCTCCTCCTGGTAGCCACGCCAGGACTGAAAATAGCCCATTGGGTGGCTAATAGGAAATGCTACTTGACGGAAGCACTTCTTCTCTTTATGGTCAAAAATGTAGCGGATCTTTTGAAACTCAAAAGATAGAATGCCCTCCCCATTCTCATCCTGTTGGTCAAAGCAAGTATTTTCTTAGATTTGTTTGTGTTGGAAGGAGAGAAATCAGTTTATACCTTTTATATTTTTATGCAACAAAATTCTCTAAAAATTCAGCAAAAATGGATTTCATACAAGTGGTAAAATTGAAAGCTGAGTAAAAAGCCTAGGCTTGGTAGACAGAGAATGTGAGCTCTGAGACATGCTCTCGATATAAGACAACTTGTAGCATCCTGAGAGTAGATATGTGAACTGACCTGGTCCCTCTGTAGTGCCACAAGCTCAGCAGAGCCATTGTTAGGTGTGGGTATAACCTTTGCCAGTGTAGCTGTGTTTGGGTCTGGGTCCTGCGCATAGGAATCAACAGGTGACAAATTCAAACACTAACAATTCACAGTTACTTTTGGTAAAGCTGTGTGCTGCTGCAGCTTTGTCCCTCTTAAATGAGACGCCCTGACAAACAGCTGTTTGATCAGTGGATATTAAAATCAAAAAATCCTTTACCCTTATATCCGACTGCAGAATCTACACATGATTTCAGTGCTGATATAAATCTGTTATACAGTAATGTATTTGTAAGATCTAGACTCTAGTACAACTGCTTACTGAGAAAACAAAGAAATGCTGAACATGTCAATTATCATCTGGAACTATCACAGAATTGTAAGATTGTTTTAATAGTGTCATGAAACACATTTTTCTCTTTTCATTTAACTATAAAACCAAACACTAATAGTAAGGTTTAATGAAACACCGTGGAAAGCTATTTGAAGCTTCAGTTTAACCTCTTATTAGCAGGCCAGGAATTACAGCTAGACACTTAACAGGTGGCTTTCCATACTTAAGCAGGTTGCGATCATATCAGTCAGCAATTGTCCTTTAGGTCTGCATGATACATATTTTGTTTCTATATCATCTTCCTCTCCTTAAATTTGGTGAAGAAAGTGTAATGTCAAAAATGTCACAGCTTTTTACACCCTGCTTGGCAGAAAGAAAACACAGCAATCTTCCACTGTCTATGAACATGTTTCAAATAGCCTACATAATGAAGGGTATTATGTCTACTGGTCCCTGAATCAAAATTCCAAACTGAAAGTGAATATAAAAATGTGGCAGTGAGAAGTGAAAGAGCCTCGGAGAAATGTCATTGCTAATTCATACTGGTTTGGTGTGTTTCAGATCAGCACTATGGCTACAGAAGCCACCTCTAAGAATCAAACCCAACACCTTCCCTGCTATAGTGCCTCAGCGCAAGCCAATGAGTCCGAGCCTGTTCCTGGGCGCATGCTGTCCCTAGCCTTTGACCTCTAGTGGGTTCCTCATACATATCGCAGTATTACTGTTGTTAACACAGATGTTTACCTTGGAACAAGTGAGCCAACAATGCGCGTGCACGGACCAATAACCAGAGAGCGCTGTGAGGATGTGCACAATCCCGATAGCTGCTAGCGACAGGAGGCCTGCCTCCGGATACTCAGAGGCACCGTACACCCCTAACCACACATACAGCCAACTCGGATACAGAACGACCAGAAATGGGAGGATGGTGCCGTGTAACAGTCGGGGCCTTCGCCTGTAAAGCGTCACCGAGCTCACCAGCTCGTCGCCAGTGCCGCTGTCATGTTGGTTGTGGTTCACAGAGGGGGCCATTTGTAGCTCACCCGGTCCCCGGATCCCGTCTACAGCCATACTCCCCTCTTTCTTGGCGTCGTTCATTGTGCTTTTCTCACTCCTCTGGCCCCCTCTATCACCCACCACCACCCCGTCGTGCAGTAACCGGTAAAATAGCGATTATACACACGGAGCGGCGCTCGGTCCAGCCTTCGGAGCCCGTTTACTGAATCGCTCGTTCTGTGATCGTGGCTTCCGCATACGTAAACACGCAAAGACGCGTAACGTTCTAGTTGGCTCAACATGGTTGGACCGCAAATATCGAACATCATTATTCTCAATAGAGCTACATCGTGTTGTAGATGTTAAGTGATTTATATTATGTTTGGAAAAAAAACTTTCTTAGACAAAGTATTGACAGCATTCGTCATCTAATACTTCCATTTGGGGATTAATTGGCGAGCCCTTTAATAAAAATGTCGTCATTACGGGGGCGTAGCCAAAGTGGGAGATTGACAAGAACCTGGACGAATATCATTAAAAGAACTATAGCACAATGTTGTATTTCCAACCAATCAGGTATTAATGGGTGTGTATCGTGTAGTTAGCGCACAGACATGGTTCCACATGGAAAACTAGTGTTGTAACCTTGACTGACTAGTGACTTTGTTTGAGAACAGCGAGCAACATGTAAGAATCTTAAATATGGCTTATTACAAAAAATTCCTTATCATCTAGTCCAGACACATTTGATACATATGGATTGTAAGTAAAGACGTTTGCAATAGTATGTGTCAAACTCCATCCTCTACTGCTAACTAGTTTATTCTGTTTAACATTTTGTTATAGCAAGTTGGCTTGTATGAGGCTAATGATAGATTGGACTTGTCTGTAACTATAGACCGATTTACATCAGTTTGTCACCTTTCAGGCAGGCTGCTATGGATATCACGGCCAAGTATTGCCACAAAGAAATGGAGGCATACGGAGCATGTGTGTCCTCAAACCCATCAACCTGGCAGCAAAAATGCCATGAAGTGAAGATGAAGGTTGCAGAGTGCACATCATCACAGTAAGGCGACATTGTGCACCCATTCTCATCCCTGTGACTCTGTAATACACGTCCACTTTCAAACCATATTAATATCTAACCCGTACATTTGTTTTGATAGCCCAGTGATCCAGAAGATCAGACAGGACTGTTCCACGGAGTTTGTAAAGTTTGACCGCTGCCTGAGAGAAAACCAGGATAAACCTACCTCCTGTTCACCACATGTGGCTCGCTTCCTGGGCTGTGCAGAGACAGTGGACCTCAGTGGACTGGGTAAGCCCTTGCTGGAACTGGCCATATACAACTCAAGGCCACAGCTGTGAATGCAAATGATTAAAACATAAAAGAGTGTGCAGCTAAATTTTCCTCCTTGTGTTGTCAAGAGGCATTTAATTACACTGTGTGGTTTGTGCATGCTGAAATATTTCAGATGTGTAATGGTATCTAGGATATCTTTAAAAATATAGATGCAAAAACACAAATCTGGTCATTATGTCAGCAAACTGGACTACTGCATCATCCTCTAGTGGTATTAGTTTAATAGTTTACATATCAATAAATTCCTTTTTCTTTTCCCAGCTACAAATCCAGTGCCTCAGTCATCGTGACATTCATCTTCTGTCACCTTCGATTACACCTGTCCTCCAGAAGCTCAGGTGGGCTGGTTTCACACGTGTCCCAGTCATGTTACTGTTTGTATAGTAACTTTAAAGGATAAGGCCAATCACTTTTTATATTAACAGAATTTTCAATAGACCCCATACAGAGACTGAAACTGATGATTTGCCTCTACTCATGGTTAATGTCTGTCAGACTGTCAGTCCCAGATTAGTTTGTTTGTCAGTGCCACGTCAGATTAAAAAAACACTTCAGGGAAACACACTGGGGGACGTATTTCTTCATTAGCAAACCCCAGACCAGAGCATGAGTAGCTAGCAAAATGTAAACAAACTTGAGTGCTCACACAAAATGCCACACATGTGCAGTTGTCTGATTTGTGGTAACTTCAGGAAATTATGGCCACACAGAACGTTTGGGGCCACATAGTTGAGTCTGGTGTTGCGTTATGAAAAAACATGCCACACAGTGCAACGTTGTGTTTCTCTGAAGTGTTTTTAATCGTTTTTGGACCAACAACCGAGGTCGATCACACAGATGAACAAGCGAATCCAAGACTGACAGCTGACAGACATTAACCATGAGTAGAGGCAATTCATTGTCGGTTTTAGTCTCTGCATGGAGACTGCTGAAAATACTATTAATATAGAAAATGACTAGCCCTATCATTTTAAGATATCGGTTTGCTTCAGTATGACTTATTCGAAAGTGAGTATTTGTCTTTGACAGTAAGGTAGAGGGGATTAATGCTCCAGCACTGAATTTGACAGGTTGTGTAGAATATTTAATTACTGTATTGTTCTTTTTTTCATTTTGTAGTGTTGTGTGCATGTGAAAATTACACTTGTACTTACTTCCCTGTAAGTGAGGTCATTTGGACCTTTTTTTGGAGACATTTAATTAAGGTTGGCTTCAAATTTTTTATTGCATATTCAATCCCTGGTCCAGCAGGATTAAATCTAGGTGAGACTCATGTTTGTCCCTCACACTGGGGACCTGCTCAGAGGTCTGCAGGTCAGAATGTGGCTGTACAGGGCAACTTCCAAGTCTGAAAGTATGTCGCTGTGTGAATGTGATCAGGGCATACCTGTAAAAGAGAAGTGGACCTCTCAGTGAGTAAATAAAGGTTGCTTTCAGCTGTTTAATTCTGCCTTTGCCTGTCCTTGCTCTCTCCTGGTCAGAGTCAGAGTCAAATATTAAACTGGAATGTATCACTCCCACACAAACTCTCCTGACTACCCAATGACTGCGAAATAGGGAGTCTGGGAAGAAAGGGGAAGGAGGAGGCTGTCCACCTCTAATCAGCAGGACTACTGAGAGAGACAAAGGGAGGATGTTGAGTTATGAGCCCTGTGACCACCAAGCAGAACGATCCTTTTCTGGTTCAATTATTAAAGCACTGAAGGGGGTAATGGAGGGGAAATGATTCATTCTTTTCAAGTGTAATATCTTCAGTTCATACCAGATAAGCAAGTGATCAGTGTATCATCATGTATTGTATTTGGGGCAAATAAAGCAAGTGCACCTCAAAGATGAAACTGAAGATTGTATTGAGGATACGGCAACATTACATTCAAAGCACATTACCTGGCAGTCACTGAACAAAAAAGTAAGATAGGATCTCACTTAATACCACATAAATAAGTTACATTCACAAAAGTATCACTGTAAAAATACCAGGAGCCAGTGATCAGAGCCGAACAATGTCGTGAAAGAATGTGACAAGCTGTAGCCGATCACGCACGCCTAAATGAAACAGGTATCACCCTAATCCTATTTTATTCTGCACCACATCATGAGTCGGAGCCTGATGCTTTCTGGAAACACTTGGTATCCAACTTCACTTTGGAGGCTATTTCTTTAGACCTACTTTGTGACATAAATATCATGCTACAGTTTAAATATTTGCTGATTATCACAGAAGAAGGTACAAAATGTCTACCTATTAACATCTAATTTGAGGTGTTTGTGAAAGAAATTATTACAGAAAGTGTCAACAATTATAACACATACTCAAATTTACATTTGGTGTACATCATGTACCCAGTGTACTAAGTTTGGGGAATATAGATCCGTTGGTTGACATTTTCTGTACTGCTTCTGTGCGACTATAAAAGGGAGAAATAAAGTGGTAATAACTTAACCCTGTTTCCTCATAAGGCTCTTCAGAATACCCTGTACTGTTGTCTAAATGCTTAAAAAAAACTTTTTTGGGGTCCATATTATATCTGTCATACATTACCAAAAATCTAAATGTAGTTTTTTTCCTGTTTGCAGTATACATTCTTGAAGTCACTGGGCAAGTTAAACTGTTAATTCTATCCAGCACAATATCCTGAGTTTTAGCTCAGGTTACATAAACATACACACTAACCTGAGAGCAAAATTGTACTCCAGTCCATATACAGTGTTGTATACGTTGCAGTCTTTCACACACAATAAGTAATCACTAGATCTGTCAAAAAAGCAGTATTCTAATTTAACTTAGACCCTTAGCTGCTTGTAAGACCTGCCACGACTCCTAAATACACGTGACTTGATTGATGAATTCACTTTCAACAAGCAATTATTGTCTCTGATTTATGATGATATACATATTAATATGTTTGATACGTGTCTTTTGTTTTTTGTTTTTTTTTGTTGAAAAGTGCCATGAAATGTGTTTCATTGAACAACACAAATACAACAAGAGAAACTGAGGTCCTTTAACATATATTGGACATTTACAGTGTCTGTATTTCCAGCATGTGATTCTTATCTAGGAAAGATGGAACGTTATGCAAATCTGCTGCAAATTGATATTATAACTATGCCTGACTTGTGATGATTTTGGCCAATGATAAAAGCTCAGAAGGGTGTTTGGGTGTAGGCTGTTTCGCCCACAGACATGTCAGTGAACAGACTCGATTAGCTGCATCTCTGAGGTGAAAGGTGGAACAAGATGGAAAAGGGTGAGTGTTTATAAGGGTCAGGAGGTGAAGTATGAGCTCTGCATGGAGTAGAGACGGTCAATGGGGTTTCCCACTCGTCCTGGCAGGAGACTGCCATCCCCTGTTGCCAAGAGGCAGTCGCCAAGGTGACCGAGGCTTCCATCACTGTCCAGGT